CAGCAAATGACACTGCAGCATCTCCAGATCATGCTCATTTACACATTCTTCAACAGGGTTATATTCGACCGCATTGCTGATATACAGGGCAACTCCGCCACCTCGCTTTTTGGTTCGGTCTCGTCTTAGCACTTAATAACCATCTAACTGTATTTGGGGGTCTGTAACATCTGGGGTGAGCCACGGTTCAGTTAATGCAATAACATCAGGACATAGTTCGGCCACAATTATTCTAAGTTCGTCGAGTTTGTTCAAGAGGCTTTGTACATTTCCGTAGAAGAACTTAATTTTATGTAGGTTGTTGCGTCGAATTAATTGCCCGGCCGTGTGGCCTTCGTTAGTATGACAGGCGTCCTCCACAGGAGGGGTCTTTGTCGTCGAACAATCGCTCCGTTCATTATTACTAGTCCTTTCTCTCCTTGTGCTTTCAAGGTCGCCAGCTCCGCCTTCAGCGCCCTCCATTTCATTCTCTCTTGTGCTGAGTAATCCGGTTGAAAAAAAGACCTTTATGGTCAGGGATCCCCCCTACTGTTCGTTCAAGTAGAAGATCCCTCTGGAGTTTACTTTCTAAAACTATCTTTAAAGGCCTTGGTTTCATCCCTTGAGAGCTCGCGCTATCTTTACTGTTTAGTCGGAAAAGTTTCAGAATCTTAATGGCTTCATCTTCTTTTATTAAGCTATCCAGACACTCTTGCAAGGTCATGATATCATCATTTATCCTACATCTGGGGTTATCGTTGGTTGATTCACGAAGTCCATGGACGACTATGCATTGTGATCTGTCCACAGCAATTCCATTCGACGAATTCTGTTGGATAATTGGTCTGACCGATGATGAGGCTTCCCCAAGTTGGGCTTCGACGCTAGTTGCAGTTGTCAATGACACATTGCCCGGAAGTCTTTATTGCGGAAACAGTAAGTCATCAGTGGCGTACGCCTTCTGTAAATCCGTTGTAAATGAGATAAAAGCAGTTCAGGAACAGGGAATCCGTGTAAACGCAATCATACGGTCAGTTGGCGCCCATGTTGCAGCCGTAATTTGTGATACCCCCACGAGTGCCCTTGCTAACTAAATCAAGAACGTCAATGCCTATCATAGCTGCGAATGTTGTACAGTGTCAGGAGTTTATAAAGGAAACGTAGTTTATCTAGAGGAAGGACAAAGAATTAGGACTTTAGGCAGTCAACAGACGATGAGCGCAGAGTTGGCATCTCTCCAGTTCTATTTTTTAACCTAAAATTAATTTCCTAATTTCCTCTTAATCCAATACCTCTCGCGTATCTAGGTGTTGTAAAGAAGCTGCTAATTTTATGGGTTGAGAGGCATCAGTGGAAAGCGACCGGTTGCACGATGCTATCCGTTCTTAACTCAACGTAAATGCAGGCAACAGACGAGAAAATAGATTTACTTAACATTTGCCTTCATACTGAATTTTATCAGCGAGATGGGTATTTAAGGGACCTTGAGTCATGGAAAGCAGCAGAGTTCCGACAGTTTGTACTGTACGTGGATGTTGTTCACTGTGGAATTCTGCCTAACAGTCATTTCAGATTTTACTTGCTGCTCTTCACTGATCGTAGACTATTAGCCAGCCCAGACACTCTTATTAATAATATAGGCTACTGTAAGCAGTTGTTGCAAATATTCACTCACAGATTTTCTGCCTTATACGATGAGGAGCACACTGCCTACAAGGTGCACAGTATTATACACAGTGTCGATGATGTTCAGCGTTACGGGACGCTTGACATTTTTTCATCTTTCCCATTTAAAAGCTATTTTGGCAGACTGAAGAAACTGCTAAGAAGTCCCTCAATACCTCTGCAACGGATAGCTAGACGCCCTAGCGAGTTGGAGGTAGCTGCTGCATAGACACAATTCGGGACCACCTATAGCGGGAAACAACAGTCGTGCGCAGTACCAAGGCGCTATCACCGGCAGCTATCGGGTTGACATAACACCGGCCAGTAGATGTATTGGCAGTGACAATAAGATAGTCTGTGTCAAGAACGTGGTGTCTGATGAATGAGGATGTCTTCGCATAGTATTTAACGAATTTATTAACGTATCTGACTACGTCGATTATCCAGAAGGTCATGTCTATTAAAGGCATATAAAGCTGCTATTGATAGCACCCTTCACTGTTTAACTTTGCCAGCCAGCTTTAGCAAGTACGTTTGTTTTCAGCTAGAGAATGAATATATTTCAATAAAAATTATCAACCCCTCTCAGGCAAACATTGCTTATTATTGAGCCGCTTACTGTCCTTTCGCTTTCGTGAACATTGCTCCTGAACCCTACAAGCACAAGTCCTCATAGTGAGTGGTTTGAGAGCACTGAAGGAAGTGGCAATAGCGACAAGAGAATCCCCAGATCCTTTGGGCCCTGCCGACGACGATAGGCTCCAGTTGAACCTGAATCGGTTAGAGGGTTGGCCAAATCGTCGAATCATACCGTCTGGTAAAATTGTCTGTTTTTGGCCATATGTCATCTGCGCTTACCGTCGTGTTTTGTCGATTTACCATAAAGCGGAAATATACTGTCATATGAAGCTTCCCCGTAGAATTTTTGAAAAAACATTAGATTTTTAACGATAAGTCGCCTCCATTGCCCGCCTTTATTGTCGATTTATCAACTGGTAAGAGAACCATACTGTCATCCATTTCACCCTACATAGCCTCATTGTAGAATGCAAATTTTATTCAGTTTTATTGTCACCTACCAAACCGTCAGTCGTATGTTTTTTATATCGGACCATTTTATTATTAAGCAAAAACTGCATAAGTGACAATTCTGCTGTCCGGTCTACAAATATTAATAACTCGGGAATTATTTATCATAAATAGCCTCATCGTTGAATCTTCAAATATTCGACAGCTATCGTCCCTATAGATCAGTACTAAACTCTGGTTTTGCTTTCTCTAACATGCAACCCCAGGCAACCCTTTGTCAGAGTGTGACTGAAACTAAATCCCAAGCTTCTTATTTAAAACCCATCGTCAACAGGAAAAAGTAGACCTTGGAGAGCCAGAGAATTTTAGCAACGCTGTCTGATTGTGAATCAACTTTTTCCGTTCCTGGTGTTCTTCTTGAAGGAGAATTGCCAACACTTACTTCACAGCAATGTGAGCAGCTCGTGCCTCACACCGACCTTGTTGCTAATGAGACCGAAGACGGGAACAAGCGAAGGTTTTACTTTATTTTGATAAATGTTCCTATACGTAGACATTCACTCGATGTCGCCCTCCATTTTCTTTACTCTCGTGGCTTCAACTTTAAGATCGCTGAAGCTAAAAGACTTTCATTTAGGAACAACAATCTTGTCAAATTATTCTCGTCGATCGAAGTAGACTTCATTTTTCCCAATTTGGAGCGCTCAGCTCGACATCTTGGAGGAAATAATCTTTTTATTAATAGGGATAAAACTCCAATGCAGCGCACAGTTCCCCCCTTATTAGCAAACGTAAAGCCACCCCATAATTCTACTCATCTGCAATTTGCTTCAGCTGGCGTCAACCAAATTCCCCCCGTATTTGAGACTGCTTTAGTTCCATGTGGTTCTTCACCTTAGCACATTATCACTGAATCAGTTGAGACCTGCCACTTTGAAACTTCTCCAGATAGCGATACTTTTTCAAATACTACTCCCAATTCTATCAGACCGCTTGATCCTAGCAGTAAAAATATATTAACCCCAGAACCGCAATCGACCTCCATGGCTCAGAAATAATGACTTGATTAATAAAAATTGGTCGAATCCGTCTGGTTCCTGTGCCAGGCCACTCAAGTTTAACCAAACGAGCCAGATAATAGTTCAGGGAGATCTCTACCTGTTCCTTCACTGAATTCTCAATCTAAAGGAGGCACCACAATTGGGAAGCCCAGTAATACATCAGCCTGTAAAATTCAAGTACGCAGTGTCGCAGATAATTTTCCCAACCCCAAAGCTAGCCTGACTCCCCAGATGATGAAGCCTTCTCATAATGTAAAGATCCTCTAAGCATTTAGTCTGTTTTCTAACATAAATCTCTCCCCATACTACGCCCAACATCCTCAAAATCCCATTTTTATATCCTACTTTTCGACCCCACGAAATAGCATTCCCCTTCATGGATTCTGCCAAAATATTTCCATGCGGTACTGCCTCTTCAGTTAGTGGTAACATCACAAATTTCAGACCACAGCAACTTTGCTTCCCACCCTTTACTTCCTCTCTACAGCTTAATTTTCCACCACCAACTCTCCCTCCACTATAATAATGGGCAAAACCTGCATCTTAGGAATATGCTCAGTATAGCTTCTCTCAGCGCGAGATCAGGCGTGCAAAAGATGACGCAACTAAGAACTATAGCCTTCGAGTTTGATCCCTGTGTTTTGTGCATTAACGAACCCTGGGCCCATTATCTAATGTCAGACTCGGCATTCGCCATAGTTTCAGCTTATGCCGACAAGAACGTGTTAAAAAACATGGAGGTGGTTATCTTCTTTATATCAGAACCTCACTTGCACATCCGCCTTATGATTTGAACATTTCTTCCTCTTCTAGAAATCTCTTTCGCCCAGGTAGTCCTTCCGCAAAATACGAAAGCTTTAGTTGGATGCATATACAATCCCCCTTGTTATTCTGGAAATCAAAGCAACCTTTGTGAATTCTTTGAAGAAATCGCAGAGACTTCATTCAATGTCAAGATAATCGTAATCGATTTTAATTTGCCAGAAACTGACTGGCATACACATACTTCCTTCCCCCCCCCCTAAATTCTAGTCGCTTCCGGATAGAAAAGAGAAGGACACAGATAGAGACCGAATGCAAACACATGGGGTGTTTCGGACTCATAAGGAAGCCATACAATCGAAAGGAATTGAAAGGAAAAGGAGTGATAGAATGCATTGGTAAGGATCCGCAGAGAAAAGGTAACCAAGAAGGCGGGGGAAGAGGAAACAATAGAAGACGAACGTAGAAAAAGAGCGTTTACGGGCTGAATACTGCGGCAAGGGTCTAGGCCTTTGATTGCGAGCCCGCGCCCCAGAGAAGGCCCCGCACAAATCCTGTAATGCCAGAGGAGGATTCCGTAACTTTCGGTCTGGGTGGAAAGGTGATGTGGTTGAAGGCGAGGTCGAAAAAGACAGGTTTCACGGGAACGGCCTCAAATTCAGGCGGGAAGGGAACTAGCGGAGACTGGGAAGTGGCCAGCTTATGCAGCATTGCCTTCTCCGGGAGGTACTCGTCAAGTGCCTTGATCAGGGGCTGGTAGAGAGATGTGACAGTAAACATTTATAAAAGCTCACTTAGTCCAAGAAGAAATGAGATGCAAACACAGAGATGATTACACCGAAACATTACCTCCCCCACCAACCTCACCTCAACGGGTAAAATAAAATATGAAGCAAGTCTTATTTTCAAAAGAAAATTGCGACGCTGTAGCTGGCTGCTTAGTTCAGGCCTTGACTCCAAATAGGCATAAGGTTTTGAAGTCAAAAATGAATGATAATAATTGCAATAAGCCTTAGTTAATTTCAGTGGAAAGTTCAAGCCAAAATGGTATAGGTGTTGGCTTTTCAGTTCCCTAATGTTCGAATAGTAAATGTTGGGTATCCGTGAAAAGGTTTTACTGAAGAAAATCTACCGAGTTTTTGTCCATCTTCCTTGATATTGAGAAATATCTCGGTCAGTCTGAATAAAGAACAGTGCTCTCTTACTGCGGAAATTCACAGATTGAAGTCGCAGAGTAACCCCTTGGAAAGAGGAATAGTTAACGCAAAACCTGGGTTCCCAGACAGAAAAGGTTTATAGGTGGGTAGGGGTAAGTGGCTGCCCGCCGATGATGCCCCAGTATCGGTCTCATCAGGACAGGGCGTCGCAGTCCATCACAAGCCCAGATATGGCATTGGGCGGAATGATTCTAACAAGTGATTGTTTTAGTCCCTCAAATGTTTAAGGTCATAAAGTGCGCATTCGAGAATTAGCGGCACCTAGAAGCCGACAGAGGAAAAGTTGAATTCAACGTCCCTCGCTAGGGTTACACACCCAGAGATAGGAGGTGCTGGGGAAACAGGTAAATAACATACCTCCTTGAGAGCAGATTCTGACGCGGCAAGTTCGTTACTCTCGGCGTCACCGGCAGTTCCACAGCCAGCCAGATCAAGCATGTAACCCGCCTTGCAGACAAGGATCTCTGCATCGGCCTGCACTACAAGGTCACGCATCAGCTGGCGAAGCACAGAGCGCGGGTGTCCAGGCGCTGCCTCGGCTTCGGTCTCCTCAGAGATATCATCGAGCACAGCCATGTCTTTGATTGCCTGGTTGGCTTGGACCTGGCAACGAGTGAGCAAGGAAGAACTCTCGAGGAAATTCTTGCCCTGAAGGTATGCCAGTGCCAGGTAGTAACAGCTGGGAGTGCAGAGTGATGGGAGGGAAAGGAGGATAATGAGGAAGGCGTGGCCTGCGGTTGGCATGCTCCAACCAGCTGAGTTTATTCTGGTATTACAGTATTTGAGGCTGCTAGTTGATTATCAGCATTCATAGACGTTTAAGGGAATTGATCGGCCGACGAGACGGTGGAGATGGAACCGCCAACAGGACTGGCCCAAAGGCAAAGATTACATTATACTGACTCTCGGATAAGCAAAGTTTTTTTTTACAAAAGTCCGTCAAAATCATACAGAACATTGAGAGGTATCTCTTTAACAAGGGTCAGGTATGCAACACGGTTTTTTGGGAAGCCGGTGTAACAACGGCGCGAAAAACAATCTTCGGCAGTATGCTTGTTCAACTTTCCTGACGAAAAAGATTGCTTTCAGTAAAACCAGCAAACAAAGCCGACTACCAAGACCGCACAAAATATCTTGGTATGAAGTCCTACCGTGTCAAAGTCATGTCCTTCCTAATGAACGCTCCCAGATGCGTTGACCCTATGGCCAGAGCGATTGCATGGCCGAATACGATGCACACATGTCCAGACTGCTTGCTACAAATATCTAACACATGCATACATGCACGCGGACAAGGACACAAAGCCACTGAACTTACTAGCACAAACAGAAAAGCATACCATTTCTTTCCCAGCCACGACTTAACACTCCCTGAGACGACTGAGTATTCTGTATAGAATAAACCACTACTTCCGGGTTCCACCAACTTGTCATGCTAACTAGGTTATGGTCTGGTGGTGGTGATCGTTAGGGTGACCTCAAACAGGATGTTTTTTTTACCAGTCTGGAGGTCAAAATGGATGCGATTTTGTGGTTACCATTCAGTTTACTGGCAAAAGTAGCTCTGTATTTATAAGTAGTGCTTATAAAAATTACTAGTTTCAAAAGCCTGCAACCTCACGAGCCCCACCTAGAACATGTCAGGCAAGATGGTGTTTTAAAGACGACAGCGCTTCAGCGGTTTTCTCACCTTATCTATACCCACTCGTTATCCTGCCTTCTAAAAAGTGAACTGTGGGGACCAAAATACATCTGTGTAATTAGGTAAAATTCGACACGATACAATGTGCTAATGTAAACGCCCTCTCATGCAGTAGATATATGCTTAAGACGGTCCCAGGAACTGTCCTCGAAGTTCCCTAACAGATAAACGCTTTGATTGGAGACAGCAAAGGTATTCACGCACCACATAGGATGAGCTCCAACTACCTAAGTTCTCATTCCTGAATAAGTAAGAACGCAGATAAAGTAACTACCGATTCCATAACTATTGAGCGCAGCCTCCCTAAAAACCCAAGTATAGCGAAACATCTCAATAGCGAGGAATTCTACAACTGTCTAGGTTTCATACAGCTGCGTTTCACTACTGTGGGGATTGCCTGCAACGGTACAGGGCACTTGTAACGCAGCTCATTTTTCGGGACGTTCGGAAAAGTACTTCTTGTGATAAAAATTCGAAGTGCTTAAGGTTACCTGTAAAACGTTTGCTACTTGGGAAACACTTCTCCGCTTTACTGGTTACTTGTACCTACACATGTGCCATGCTAGCATAGGCCCCTGGCTAAATGCCATCTTATCTACCTCTTTTCTATTTCTCGTTTTAGATCCAGTACGTCAATTGTAAGGCGAATAAAGCCCTGTTATAGGGTATTGTCGTTCTGACTCTTGTATTCGTATTTGCTCTTCCTCTCCATCTCGTGTGCTTGCTATGGTCCTAGCTACAAAAATATGTCTCTGATCATGTCTGATCTAGCCAACCTCAATGTTCTCATGGATAACACCTTCACATGCAACAATCAGCAACAATGGCGCATCTTGAGAGCTCAATCCACTCTCTTCTCCGGTAACGACTGTCAAAAGCCCCAGAAATATCTCCATGCCTTGGTGAACTGTGCAGAGCCAGGCTTTGGGCTGATCTCTTCAGTGTCCCTAGTTAAGCAGCGACGTCGGAATTCAGACATCGGCATAACACTCATGCGGCGAGTGAGAATAAACGCGCCCAAACAACCTTAGCTGACTTTCTTCGATGTTCTGGCATATTCCGCAGATGCAGTCACGGCGAGTGCAGACTGTCTCCTTCAAGATGAAGATCGTGTACTTCACTCACTACCAGGCCGTGGTAGTAAGCCTTTCCCCCCTCCCCCTCCCCCAGTTGTCGTCGTCTTTCGAGCTCTCAACCCAGCACCCCTGGCCCTAAAGGCGGATCAGTCGAGCGAATGCCCTAAAACGCAGTTCTTGGTGGCAATTGAGATATCGCGACGAGTCAATAAACATCCGTGAAGACTGGCAAAAAGCCCGCGAACAATACGGACTCGGGTGTTGCTGTCGTTCATACTCTGTCCATTTGATCCGGGGGTATTTAAAACTGTCAATTTCTTCGGGCCGACGATCATTAGTCATGAGGGTTGCATTAGTCATGAGGAGATACATGCTCACAGTGTGCGACGCAGGGCTGATAGATAAGCCTGCTGGTTTAGTGTCATTGTTCAAGGGAAACGTTGTAGGTTCCCATGGTTAGATGTTGGCAGATTACTATTGTTATCAGAGTCAAGATCGATCAGCTAGCATCTCAGTGCAAACTCGACACAGTCAGGATAGTGTGGGGTCCTTCGAAAATCCAGTTACTGACGTATTTTGATAGGGTGGGTGTGTGAATGCAACCTTATCGAACAGTTGACGATTGTTGCGGACACCAACTCTCGAAGCGACGAAGTGATGATAAGTATTGATCACAGTGCGTATTTTTACCGGCAGCCAAGTGCGATAATGTGGTGCTGATGCACCTAAGACGTTCGACAGAGCTGACGAATAGGGTAACGATTTTTTCAAGCGGTGGCTTTGAAGAGGCATGACACTACACTGAACTACGTATTCAAATTAGTAGACAGACGGAGCTACCGACGATTATAAGCAAGGGCGAAGTTTGGAATTCGGGTGTTGTCATTCCCTCTATACGAGTTCGAGCTGGGTGCACAAACCTCTTTGCGACTGACGACCTCCAGACATACGTAGTGCATGACAGTAGATAGGGTAACCAGTTGATAGTGCCGAGTTAAAGTGATTTGGGAAAAATGTGTCAACATTTTAGAGTAATTGTGCCCTGGTTCTGACCGCGCAAGTGTGTAGCAACCTCTCGTACGACTGCTTAGGCTCATAAATATTTGACAATGTAGGGCACACCGGGACGTAAGCATAAGGTTTTAGGTATTTTTAGGTCTGGAGGGATGGGCTTCACAGGGCATGAAAGGTGCTCACCGTAGGCTCTTGTATGCAGTGGTTTTAGCCTTGAGTAGAGCCTTAACGTCGTGATTCTCTTGAATGCTTCCAGGGAGCGAGCTGACCTCTTGCAGGTTCTGCACCACGGTGTCGTAGAGACGCGCCAGTTCGTGTGGTTTATGATAGCCGCTGGTCACGAGACCGAGTGAGACGTGCCGATTCTCGGGCGTTACGGCGGACATCAGAACCTCCAACTGATACAGTGTTCGCCAGATTGTTTTGCTGAGTTTTAGATACTGCAGATACGTGTACAGACGCTGGAGTCGCGGCAGCTAACAAGTGAGAAAGCGTGTACACAACAGTCAGAAACCGTCACGCAGGCAGGTCGCAAGTGGTAATAAGATAAAAAGGAGCAGAAAACTTCGTATGAGAGGTGAAAGTGTGGAGATGAGATTTAAGTGTGTTCGATGATACTCGGTGGGGGCAAATTACGGTTGAAAGAGAAAAATGAGCATGTAAATCAGATCGGTGCGTTTGCGAAAACGATCGAAATGTGCAGAGGAAAGGAGGCTAGAGAAGCCTTTAAATCAAAAAATCTGTGGGCTCAGCCACGTGTCAAACATCTTTACAATCAAGAAGTACACGACGAAGGTAAGCAAGTAACGTTGAATTGATTATTGCTTCTTAAGATTTAACTGCCAGTGGCATCAGCAGACGCATGTAACATGAAAATGTACGCATGGACGGCAGATGTTAGTCAAATGCCGGCAGTGTCACTCGTAGGCTGTACACTAGCCTTAAGCTTATGTAAAATATAGGCAATAGTAAGTTCACTAGTACTTCTTGCTTCCATTACGACAGTTCAACCATCGTGACCGACGATGTCCATCATGTGCTAAACAACAGGGTGAGAGCAGGGACGGTGACTTGCGCGTGGATTAGTTCATAGTGATGGTAGACTTGCGCAGCATCTACCGCACAACCCCCTCCTCCCCCACCTGGACCCGGTGTCATGACTAAGAAGACCGGGGCGGTAGAGGGCGCAGGTGGCTGAGACGGCGAGAACTCGCGCGTAAGTGTACCACTACACTCCCATTGTCCACAACGTACACTAACAAGGATGTTATACCACACCAAAAAGTGGGGGGAGGGGGCACGGGTCCCAACTGGTGGGACGTGAACCGGTAAATTGGCGTGCCCCCACACCCCAACGCTGGCATTTGTTATTAGTGAGCATTCCAGATAACACATGGTGGACTCTGGTCTAGCCCCCGTGTTGTTTCAGCGCACCAATCGTGTGGCCATTTCGGGGGCACAGGTTTCCCTCTTAGAAAGAAGTAGAGGGCAGTTAACACAACAAAAACACAGAGATACGAACCTTATCTAGTCCCCGATTCTGCTGGAGTGACTTTGGAGCCATGGCTGACGCGGTGTCCACGGACGACACTGACCGAATCTCGTCGCGTAGACTTGTAATTGCCTCCACCAGAGTCTTCAATGTAGATTCACACAAAGTAGCTTTTGTGTGGCTGGAACCGACCTTCTTCAGTTCCTTGTCAGCTTCCTTGAACAATGCAAGGGGACAGCTGTGTAGGCCAATGTCTATTTTTATGCAAATCGCGCTGAGTACAAAAATTTTCGAAAGTTTTAGCGTGGACCGCTGACTATTAAACACGAGGACTACGACTTTCGAGCTCAACGTACAAACAGCCTTCAATGTTGTTCCACCCTGATGGTGAACGAATCCTGACTAGTTTTAGACACGAAAAAGCCTTTATTCCTTGACTGCAATAAGGCGCGAGAGCGAAACTACCATCTTGGAAGAGGCAGTATTCGTTCCCTAAAGTCAAAGTGAGACGATAATTTAAAAATCGTTCGATTGTCATAAGTGAGGAGAGTCACCTTGCCCCGAAGGCGCAGCCGTGACTTGCGAAGGAGATTGTGTATTAGTGAGGAAAGCTTGTGCAGTAATTATCTCACATCCACAGTGTCCCGATGGCAAGACACAAGCAAGACAACGGGAGACAAGCATGGAGCAGGGTCTGACGAGACTGGGTCCACGTCTACGCGTATTATATATATTCTAGTCCCTAAGAGTACGTGAACTACTCTTCTACGAGGTGGTCTCAGATCTCTTATCGAAGAAAGCTATCATAAAGACCACACTAAGGTGTTATTATAGTCCTGCCTACGGTCCGGAGGATGATCGTGATATCCTGTTAATTAGGGTCCTCGCAGGCCATGACTACAAGCAAGCCGTGACGATTATTTATAGCAAGGAAACTGACCGGTGAACTAAAGCGGGGTAGACCTTTCTCTCTCTCTCTCTCTTGCCTTTTCCATACCCGCGGCAAGCTAGTTTCAAGTCGGCTGGGGATGAGGGAGGACGCATAATCCTGTAATGTTGAAGTGATATACAACCGATTTAAAAAATTCCCCATTCTCAGACGAAAGGATCCCATTTACAGAGATACAACACCGACAGTCTGTCTTTGGAAAGTATTCAAATTGGGCAAAACCATACCTGAACGGCGAGGACAGCTAAACGTGCCTTCTCCTGCTTGATTGGTATGGTGGTTCCCAGCCAGACGACTTCAGTCACACTGACAGCCTGCATGGCCTGCATCTGCTTCAGAAGTTCGTCAAGTTGGTACTCGGCCAAAAGGTCAGAGCCCTCTACGGCGACGTTGCGCATTTCTCGCAGCTCAGTAGCGGCAGACTGGTCACCAATGCTATAGGCACAGTAACGGATTTGCGGAAGCAGCTCATTTATGCGTCCCGTGTACACGGCTTTGAGATCTTCGTCTACAGAGGAAGCCAGGCCAGAGTAGATGTTCTGTGAGGCCTCCAACAACTCCCTGGCCTTGACCCAGTCCTGAAAGGGAAATAAATTAAGATCAGTAAAGGGATTACGACCTGCATCCTAAGTGCTAATGCGGACAAGGACAGTTGGTCATTCAAAAATCTGAGCCGTCTAGTTATATAAGACCCCATAGAACTGTTGTATATGATTACAGAGCGGGGTCGGCTACTAACAGAGGGATAATCTGTGTAAAAACATGGTAGTCATCATCATCATCGTCCTAGTCACCGCCACCACAATATTTATCACTCCATCATACGCTGTATGGCTAATGTGGTCGCCCCAGTTCATTCGTGTCAACCTCCCTGGAAAGAGACATGCGAAAACAGATGACCTCTGCACAAGACCCGCGTTTAGAGGACATTTCCGCGACTTACAGGACACTACTGGGGGAATGGGCTCCCATCAAATGACAAGCAAGAGTGATTTCGAAGTAATTATTTAAAGTAGCTTAGGCTACGCAGGCCCGTCAGATACCTGTATTCAGTCAATCGCGAGTTGTTGTACACAACAGTCCTTCTCGAACGTTCAACAAAGCTGAATTCACTCGTCCATACTGTTTAAATACATCGCTATCTGGGTTTTCGAAGGACCCCACACTGTTCTGACTGTGCCCAGTTTGCACAAAAACGCCGGCTGGCCAGTCTTGACTCTGCTAACGATAGCACCCCGTTAGCAATTCCCATTGAAAAGTCTACAAGTATGGCGGCCCTCGACTGAGGGACAAACTGACTTCACGCTTCCAGGAAATGTGGCGAAAACGACAAGTCCCTCAGGACCTCAAGATCACAATTATCGTTCACATATACAAGCTTAAAGGAAACCAATAACTTTATGGTCACCACTGAGACATTTCCCTTCTGAAAATCGCAGGCAAAATCTTCGCGCCCGTCCTCTTCAACCGTATGAACAAGCCCCTGGGACAGGAACCTATCAGGAAGCCAATGTGGATTTCGCAGAAGCCGCAGAACCATCGACATGATCTTCACCCCGGGCCAAATGTAGGAGAAGTGCCACAAAATGATGAACAACTTCTACACTACCTTCGTGGATTCGACAAAGGCTTTCGACACCGTGAATCGCGACAAACTCCAGAGGATCAGGCTGAAATGTGGATGGTCGGAACATTTCACATAAATGGTGCGCTAACTTCACGGTCGAATGATGGTTCCCGTCACGGACAACAGGGCAATTTCCGACGCGACTCAAAGGGATGAAGCAGGGCTGCGTCCTCGCTCCCACCCTATTCAGTCTCCTGTTCTCCGCTATTCTGATGGACAACTGTCGTGCGGGGCAGCCAGAGGTCGGCAACAACTACCGAATCGACGGAAAATTCGTCTGAAGGCATCTTCGAATGTGTTGAAGGTTGGCATCCACGACCAACTGTTCGCTGATAACTAGGTAAGAGACCCAAAAACGAAATTTTCGCCCGCAACCTGCAGACAGGAAGGTGGAAAACCCTCGACCAGTTTGTTCGAAAGCTAAAGTCCTTAGTTAAGAACTGTGATTTTAAAGTCGTTACGGCAGAACGAAATCGCGACGATGTCACTAGAGATGCGCTCATCAGTAACCTTTCGTCGAACCAGATTCGGCAGAGTTTATTGGAGCAGAAAATTCCGAACTTCCAAACTGCCTTTGATCAGGCAAGATCACCGAATTCGACAGAAAGACAGTCTCTAACGTATCAGAACCCTCCGACGACCTCATTTTCTGCCGCTACGGAGCCATGTGAAACTTTGTCGAGTCCCGTTAAAGAGCCTGACCTAGTGACTTCTACTGCATTCCATAGAAAATTTCCCTTTTGTGGATAAAACTAGCACCGCCGTTCGATGTGTCCCTCGGACGATGCATTATGCAAAGGATGCGCTAAAAAGAGCACTTTCAAAAGGTGTGCCTAGCATCACGAAACCGAAAAACCTCTTCCGCTATGTATATCTCCATTTCGGCCGTGGCATCAGCTGCTGTTTTCGACTGTCTTTCAAGTGCAGTGGTTGAATTGCAAATAAATGGGACTACTTTTCAGGCCCTAATTGACATAGGTAGTTCTGAAAGTTATATTTCTTCTTCAGTGGCGCTCCGAAATAAGTGGAAGGTTCAAAACTCTCGCATTAAGACATCAATGGCCATCACCGCCTTAACCAGCGCCACGCAGGGACATATGGTTGTCTCCATTAAATATAAAGGTACAATATATGAGAAGGTCAAGCTATCGGTCTTGCCGAGTTTGTGCGTCGATGTTCTACTTGGATATGACTTTCTCCGACTCCACAAAGTGTTGAAATCCCTTTGGGTCGACCTAAACCTACGTTCTCGCCCTGTTCTGTGACTGCTGCTCGCGTCGAGCTTCCCCATTTGTTTCCTAATTTGACACCGGACTGCAAGCCTACCGCTACTAAGTCTCGTAGACATACCAATATAGATGAACGATTTTTACGAGAAGAAATTCGTCGCCTTCCTTCTGAGGGTGTAAATGAGCACTCATTATCCCCTTGGCGAGCCCAATTTTTGGTGGTGGCCAATGAAAACCACAAAAACGGGTTGTTGTCGATTATAGCCAAACGATCAACGGATACACACTTCTGGATGCCCACCCCTCTCCCAGAATAGACAAAATGACTGAACATATTCCAAACTACGACACGTATGGAACTCTTGATCGCCCTCTCGTGAGCTTGCCATGGTCCTAGCTACGACACTTCCTTTCCTCCGGTTGTTCTAACTTCAGCCTGACCATCAACAGGGAAAAAACGGTGGTCATGCATCAACTAGCGTCCAACCCTCCAGTGAGAACGCGATGGACATCACAGCTCGCGACGGTCGAACTGACACCCTGATGGCCTCAAGCTACGATGGCCTATAAGGTAAAATGTTTCAAGTGAACGATGACATTAAACCAGCAGGCTTATCTATCAGCCCTGCGTCACACACTGTGAGCATGTATCTCCTCATGACTAATTCAACCCTCATGACTAATGATCGTCGGCCCGAAGAAATTGACAGTTTTAAATACCCGCGGATCAAATGGATAGAGTATGAACGACAGCAACACCCGAGTCCGTACTGTTCGCAGGCTTTTTGCCAGTCTTCACGGATGTTTATTGACTCGTCGCGATATCTCAATTGCCACCAAGAACTGCGTTTTAGGGCATTCGCTCGACTGATCCGCCTTTAGGGCCAGGGGTGCTGGGTTGAGAGCTCGAAAGACGACGACAACTGGGGGAGGGGGAGGGGGGAAAGGCTTACTACCACGGCCTGGTAGTGAGTGAAGTACACGATCTTCATCTTGAAGGAGACAGTCTGCACTCGCCGTGACTGCATCTGCGGAATATGCCAGAACATCGAAGAAAGTCAGCTAAGGTTGTTTGGGCGCGTTTATTCTCACTCGCCGCATGAGTATTATGCCGATGTCTGAATTCCGACGTCGCTGCTTAACTAGGGACACTGAAGAGATCAGCCCAAAGCCTGGCTCTGCACAGTTCACCAAGGCATGGAGATATTTCTGGGGCTTTTGACAGTCGTTACCGGAGAAGAGAGTGGATTGAGCTCTCAAGATGCGCCATTGTTGCTGATCGTTGCGTGTTAAGGTGCTATACATGACAACATTGAGGTTGGCTAGATCACACACGATTAGAGACGTATGTACAGGTACAAGTAACCAGTAAAGCGGAGAAGTGTTTCTCAAGATGCAAACGTCTTACAGATAGCCTTAAGCACTCCGAATGTCCTCACAAAAAGTACTGGCAAGGACGCAGTACACGACCCCACTCAAGGAACAAAAATTAGGTCATCGTCCTCGCCTTTTTTATACTTGACGCTTTCGCGCTCTCATAACTGAATGGGATGTTATCTACGTCCAACTTTTGCTTGCACTGCCTGATGTCTTGGTACCATTAACATTACTCGGGGATCGAGTATCTGCAAGTGCGCTCTTTTGCAAATAGCTGTAGAGAAATGTAACGTGAGGACACAATATGTCAACTCAACATTTGTCCGGATATTTACCTGCTATCGCACTCTTCTTTCCGCCGTCTAGCCCCATCCATAAAAGTCGTATTACACGATGACCTGGTTATTCATTGACCATTATCCCGCCTCAATATCTTGGGCGGCGGGCTTTGTGAAGATTTGTTAACTTTCAACCCCATTACATGGGAGATAAAACCTCAAATCGGTCAAAAAACAATATACACCTTAAATAGGGTGAAACAAAAAAACAACTATAGTAAAGTGATTATGTGCGAAGGAGGCGAACGAGTACAGCTCATAGGAGCCCTTTACTAATTGTCGGTACACCTTAGTTCTGCCCTCGAGAACGCTTTCCCCGTCAGGCTTTCTGAATTTCTGGCAACGGACCAGACTGGTTACTGGAGGCTTCACTTGCGTTGCACGCACTAGTAGGGATGTCCTAGTCAGGCAATGCACCCACCACTCCGGATGAGGAAATTCCCCTCGAGTTTATTTTCCCCACTAGCCAGCATCCACTGGTTTCGTGGTTCCGGACTGTCATGCGTACCGCGAACAACGTAGCATGCATCCATTTCTACGGTTTATGACTTTCCAGCATGCCTGTTCAGCGGAAGTAAAATAGCATATCGACGAAGGGGACAGAATTTACGGGATTACATAGCGCAAAAGTGCACACTGTTTTTAAACAAATATAAGATAATGATAGTAAAAGTCTCCTTACCTGTAGTTCAAAATAAAGTATTCCTCGAATCCAGTGAATATAAGCGCTCAATTCTAGCTTAGTTTGAGCATCGCACAAAGGAACACCAGCCATCAATTCGTATAAATAATGGGCACGTTTACTAGCTTTCCGGAGTCTTGAAATCATTTGAAATCTTTTGCGAGGTTCAGAGTTAGCCTCGGCCTTAAGTTGCATGGCGAATGCCCAGGAGCGTTCAATTTCAAAAATGGCAAGTATAAAGAAGCGTGCATCCGTTATCATTTCCGCAGTTATCTTCTTCGGGACAACTTTTGAGCGTGTTCCCTAGTAAATGTAAAGAAATTGGAAAAAAAGATACCTGTTGGAAGCGCAGTGACTTGCGTGTTCTTCTTAACTTCCGAGTGACATACTGTTGGTAGTGCTGGTAATCACCATGCCTAAGGCCATGTTGATTCTGGGCAGATTTAATGATATAGAGGACTACAAGAAAAGTTAAGCAAAAGCGAGTAGATGACGCAAGGGACTCAATGAACACTTAAGAGATTAAAATGTAGCCGTGGGAAGTGCACTCCAATTCCAGCACACGCGGTCCAGCACGATCTCACTCAGTTACTACCTCGAACTCATCCTTTCGCGAGTATCGGCAAAATCGACTGCCAAAAATAGATCGGGGACTATATTCTAACGATCAGCTGAATACTGACTAAATCGGCCAAATACCTTAACCTTTTACAGAATCACTCTTCGAGGGAAACTTACTGGATCCTTTGAAACAATACTCAACTCACAAAGATGGAATTTAAGGGAGTCTTTAAACAAATAGTTTCCAAAAGACAGAAGGGGAAGGGGTGGGGGAGTGTTAACTGTCTGATGTTACAAACGGCAAGATGGGTCATGCATCTTCAGACTGGTGTCAGCCGTCGTCTACTGACAGTCATTGCGGCGTCGCTGGATGTATTCAAGAATTTTCTCAGCTGCCCCATAGACCGATGACTTTGACGGTTACCACTGGCTACTGCCTTCTCCGCCGGCTCAGGTCGTAAAACAGGACCGAATTTCTCGGTTCAGGGCCTCGATGTTGCCAGGCTGTCGAAGTCTGCCAATATCAAGGCTTCTTGCAGGCGGCGTTTTGGGTACAGATGAGAAGTGAACTTTCAAGCGTGTGCGAACGAGAACATGCTCCGACCCATGAGCGCTACCAATTTCGACATCATGCGTCGATCTGCTATCGTGAACACAGATGCGGAACCTTAAACTGATTGGATTGCAATCTATCTGACTGGCCGTATGACCGTTGCTTGAGTGCTAAGTCAGCAGGTGTTTGTGGTGCTGGAGGCACGTGTTGGTGATAAATAGTCAATTTTAATCAGCAAAGTTCAGCAGTCTCTCGTCATTGTCGCATCGTAAACCAAAACTAAAATGACCAATAAGATGACTGCTTGAGGAGTCGCCGGATCCAGTTAGGCCATTGCAGTCGCCAGCAACAACCAGTAGGTCACGGCGGGGGAGTAAAAAATATCTTTATTGCGCTGCTCGGTAGGTGATGCTAGTGCGTACACGGGGACGACAGTGGTGTTCGTAAAGTGACCCCTTAGTCACACATAGGTCATCCGCTCATTGATCGATTCCCAAACAGGTAGTGCACGGTTAGCTTGTTGCAAGGGAGGATCGCCAAATTGCGTCTACCACAAGAGTCGTGTGAGCCTCAGTGGTACAGGGTGAAGTGTGAGTTAACTCCAGGAACCTTTATTTGCCGAGCGCCAGAGTCGAGAATCCGGACTTCGGACAGGCAGTGGACATCCACATTGTACTGATGAAGACTGCGCACCGTCAGACTTTGGGTGCCAGGGTCCAGAAACGTTCGCACATTCCGGCATCCAGTACCCAGGGTCGGTTCCCGACTGAACAGTCAGGTTCGCATACTATTCACCCACACCATTGGACCAGGGTTGTTGAGCGCGTCTGTTCCCGCGGACGCCGTAGCATGTATGGTAATATTGTATGTGGACATACTTTCATAAGGTTTCTTGGGAATTATGAGCGCAGGCGGATCCCCAACAGGCGCTCGCATTCCTTGCCTAAGGTTGTCTCCTCTAGCGTTTTGGCTCATGAACCTACCCACAACGCAGCGGTGGAAAGCAAACTTATTTCATGGCGGCTCACCCTATCATAGTGTCCCCATCGGGCTTTTTGGTATTTTATACGGCATTCGGCGTGTCAGACCTCAGCCCTCCGCGCCCCGGTAGAATTGCTGCTGTTGGTCCGCGGCTGTTTATTCGTAAGACCAGAGTTCCTGCTTGTTTCGCAGCTAACCGCCGCTGAAGGCCGTCCTACTATCCACCACCTACGGATGCGTCGGGTAGACAGCAGTTAAGCTAACGGGTAACTCATCATGCCGAAGTAACATATCTTCCCGTGACATTACTACAAGAGGAACATCAGTAAGAAGCCATTGTAGTCTGACCCACACTCCTGAGTAGGAGCGAGTTATCTTGTCGGCTGACAGTCCTCCATGCCACGAATTTTGGTCGATCGTGAATGGTTCAGGCGGGTCAGATTTATTGTAGTAGACCGACCTTGCACATGGAGTGAATTCCCTGGATTGGCCTCACTCACTCTTTACTTTTTCGTGACTCAGCCCGTCAACAGGCTGATGATAAAATTGGGCGCGACGGCTGGTGTGGCGTCAAGCCTCTGCCTACCACGTGCCACTTGTAACTTTGGACCCGGAGGCGTCTAAAGAGGTCAACTAAAAACCTGCTCCTACACAGTTTACCACGACGTAGAAGTCGTCTTTGGACCTTCTGTACTCGGTTTCTGTCGCTGGAGGAGAGATTGGGTCAGGTTTTCCAGATCCGTTGCCGCAGACCGTCACGCGTGGAGGAGTAAAATTTGCGAGATCGGTTAGATCGGGTATGATCACGGGTGAACCATGTAAGTACGTGCCATCCGCGAGGACGCAAACTAGTGTAACGGTTCACTGATAATTAACAACGTTGGTAAGCCCCCCAGGAAGGTTGATACATACCTGATGGGTACTTCTACATTGTGTATACATATGGTCGGGACGGTGCATGCTGTGAATGAAAGTGTGGGAAACAGTGTATGAGTGATGAGTGATATTTTGGCTAACCCTACCGTGTATGCACGTATGACCTAACAGGTTCATTCGATGGTTGAGTATGCGGGCAGTCTGGACAGGGCGGACGTGCGTGGCGGTGTTGGTCGGGGCTCCACCCATACTGTCATGAATTCAGCGTTGTCTAAACCGCCAATGCGTGACCAAAGTGTGAAATCACAACAGCAACAAATTGGCACTGAGTTTCTGTTGTCAACGATTGTTTTAGGTGTCCCGCAGGTTATCCCAACATGATGGCTACGAAAGTGTTCAATCAAGGCTGACCGAGACGGAAGGATAGTTGCAATGAGGGTATATGGGGGGGGGTTTCTGCATTGAAGATAGCTGCTCAAATTTTCATGGTTCTTTGTTATAGCTACCGCTCCTGTGCGAACGTTTCCCCGGTGTTTTGTCTAATTTGCAGGAATATTTTGGAGGTCCTTACTCCGTTTGTTGTGGCGCCCCTCCTGTCCGTGTTTTCGGCGACTGTCCGTAACGACGTCATTGCGAAAGAGTTTAGTTGCACGGATTTACCCGTCATCCACATGATGTGACAGCTTCATCGTAATGGGTTCGCTTTATCGTGGCAACTTTCAGTTAGCGAGGGCGAAAAGATTATCGACTAGATTCTTAAGTCCTAATCACCTTGTGCGCAGTGGACTATTATCTAATAGCTGAGGCGCACCCGGGCCAGCATGCCAAGCGCTAAGTGGCCAACGTACGGTGTGTAACTCTGTTATAGAATCGGCGGCTACGGAAAAACGGAAACAGTCCGCCACCATTACCCAAGACAGAGTTGATTCACCAATCCAACACCTGATCTGGTTTATTTATCCTTTCATGCATTGAAAGATAAACCCGAGGACCTGTCCAAAAGCCTAAGTTAATGAAGTACTGTTTCCAGAGACCAGTCCCTCAATCTTAACAGGCATGCTTATTTCCAGGACAAATCAAATGTTATTTTGCCTGTATAACTTAAGCGGTAGGTCTTTAAAGGAGAAAAGCAACGAGGCCATATGCTCTATAGACATCTCACACGCAGGAAAAACAGTAACAAATGAGTTTGTAAATAAATTTCTAGGTGATAATTTAAAATTGCAAATTACTCGTATGAAGTCACGAAGTCTGAAGGTCACGAGCGTAACGATTAGACGATATACGTCAAAATACCGGGACTAAGAAAATGCACTTGATAGCAGACCCAAGAATACGCATCGACAACGTTAGGTCTACACAGACCGTACAGAGAAAGGGGCGGCGTAGCATTGAACACGGCTGTGACTGGATTTCCCCTCGGCAAATACAGAGTACGACAGTCACCAATAGCAACCACCGTCTGGAACTCAGGTGTCACGAGCAAGACCAGTTTTCGCCAGTAATTCGGAATGGAAATGCTATCAAAAAGTATATACTCTTTGACGGGGGAGACTGTAGTCTTTGACCGACTGTTTAACCAACCAGGAGTCAATTCTGCATAAGCAGCTGCGTGGTCGAAACCCAAACCGCGTACTAAAGAGCGCTGAACTCGACTATGGAAGTGGTAGTTTGAAGGGACTTAACCGGAAATCAGGGTAATCCTGTAGGTTTTGGCACTTTTCCGCCAATATCTTCATGCCATCCAGTGTCGCTCGTACCTACAGTTGTCACACCGTACAATAATTATTTAGCAACTCGTCCCACTTAGAAAGGAGAAATAATTATTGGTTCGAATTTTGTCTTCACAACCGACTTAAAGGCGCTGCATTTTCAAGAGCTGGAAATTATTTCGTAATGATAGGAATTTCTATTTTGGCATTAGTTCGTCGATGTCGTCAACGGTATATTCCCATTGTGCCGTAGAAACCGAGTTAAAACTGAAAGGTCTTAACTAATAAATAGGCCAGGAGAAAATAATTTGGTCCATAGGGGAACTACTGACCTGGAATGTTGAAGCCCTTCGCTTCCTCAACCGCAGACACCATGAAGACGTATAAGCTTTTCAAAATGTGCAATGAATTCAAACAAAATTTTCCAAGGTCATGTTTACCGTTGTATCATGCCCTTTATTTTAAGAATTCCTTATTATTTTGTGCCAGTAGTACATTATATATTATTTCCGACTCAATTTTACCTAATATCTGACTCGAAATGGTATTCTAAGATGTCGTTATTTCCTGTGATTTAATTGGTTCAATTTTGCATAGGATGGGCTTAGCGGCGTCGGTTAATCGATAGGTCTGGTTGCGCAAATGCATCACTGTGCCTGTCTGCCTACCGCTCTCTCCTGTCCTTTGCCTGAAACCACAGGAATCACCCAAGTTAGAGAGCTGAATAACCGACCCGTTACGGCTGCCAGACCGCTCGTCTTAGCCTTTAGCCCATGTCGACGCCAGCTCGAGCGGCCGAAGGCAGTACTTTCGACATTCCGCTGAGTGCACTGCTGTTTGAGTGAGCCTCGCTCCGCTTATCGCGCTCGCCTGTGCCATCGTGTCATTCTTGCAAGCGTGCTGATTGAAGTGCAAAGAATCGGCATTGCGGCAGGCGTACGCGTACATTGTGCCTCGACTACCCATCGTGCACGCGGCAGCTGAGCGGGTCGCCCGCGCTCCTGCGACGGGCTTCGTTGCCTTCACGGCGACTACGTGTGAGTTACTCCTCTCCTATAAACTTTGGCCTTTCGTAGGCCTTGTCTGGTTGGCATGATGTTTACCCGGCCGACCGAAATGTCCAACAACTTCGGACCCACATAATTTATCTCGCAGTGCATGTTGTCTAAGCACAAAGCCCGTGCAAATTTACTGTTGGCGAATTCTAGTGCTTCCCTGCCATACAGGACATGTGTAAGCTTCATGGCTGATCTTGTTCGTTTCCGGGGGTATGTTTATGAACTACTTTTAATGTTATTTGCTCAGGTCGCCGAATAATATGAACCCATGTCTCAACGGTCGAGTTTTGGACTTGTTTGCTCTTTACAATGAGGTAATTAGTCGTGGTGGCTCGAAAAAGGTACGCGTTGCTTTCACTTTACAAAGTTTAGGTAACGGCTTTATCCCAATGGGACGAGGTTGCGAGATCTATTGGCATGAGAAAGGGGTGCGCAAATGTCGGTCATGCTCTAAAATGCGTCTTTCAAAATTATTTGGAGAGCTTCGAGCGCCTCCAGCGCACGTTGGATAGCCAATCTTTTCAGGAGCACCTGTCTTTTCACGCCGAGACGGAAAACGCCGAAGCGTCCAATTTGAGCCTGCAAGTTGTGGAGAACCACCTACGCAATAGGTGGAACCTCAGCACTGATCTTGTAGAGCCTGTTGAATATCGCTCACTTATATTGGCTTTAACTTCTGGGCTGCCAAACGAAGTGGACTATGCCATGAATACTATCTTGTTAATGTCATCCCAGTCTCCGGGTCTCGAGCTTAACCAATGTCCTCAGATGGTTCCCCTCCTCCTCTCCTCTGTAGGAATCATCTCGTGTGGTAAGTCAAAAGGTTACCTTTATGTTCTTAGATCCTGACTCTTACTCTGTGCTCTGGAAATTCTGGAAGGCCCAATGCTATCGTAGCTTTGACCACGTATGTTCCTCCTCCTCGTTGACATGAACCCCTTTGTAGTTTTGGAGTACTACTATGTGTGGTGAATATGAACGTGAATTTCTAGATCCGACCTCTTTTGCTGGTAAGTGTGAACCTCCTCGGTTCGACCCAATGCACTTTTTTATTCCCTTGCTTCAAAGTATCGATTAAATTTTGTGTTCTCACTGCAACCTAAACTCCATGGAGTCCATACTTTGGTTCTATCATGCTTATGAAATTAGTGGTACCCTTACCTTTCGCGTAACCCGGGTCATCGTATGTGACTTGCTATTCTCCGACATTCGTTTGACTGGACGTGAGCAGACGGAGTTAAGTACAACAGACAGCTAGATCTTGTCATTGTTTGGCCACTGTGTGTGGATACAACCTCGATCACTGAACTAAGACCGTACCCCATCGCCCAGCCAAGACAAATCTGCTTGGCTGTTGGAGGGCGGAAGGCTATTTAGGTAGCCATGTGGACTAATCAAATTTTGGCACAGAATGGTGCAACAGGATAGTAGAAGAAAGGATACTGTTAATAGCCTTTGAAATGTTACAGTATCTATTCCAGAATGCTGCCATCCTGCCTCTTCGAATGTATCCTAACCTTTAGTCCAGTCACTCCCTATGCGATTCAGAATACTTCGAATTATCTCAGCAACGTCAGTGCACCCGGCCCAAAACATGCACAGTAAGCATGTGAAAAGCGTCTGTTATTCTACCCAGGATGTGTGAGGTACTCACGTTTTGGTATTTGCGCTGTAGTCTTGTTCTTGTCACCGCTCAATGCGAGGCACTGCTACTGAATAACACTGGTAGTCTACGCCCAATCGAAGAGATTAAAGGCAAGAATAACATAGCCGCTACTTATTCCTTCCGGTCTGTCTCTAGACGGCATTTTTCGACAAGTCTTGTAGTTGTTTGTTGTCGGTATATTCTATGCATCTTTGGAACCTCCACCCTCCATCTCGCAGGTATATTACCCACGTCTGTATATTGCCGGCATGTTTAGTCAGCCATGCCCAGGCACTGACCACTGCTCACCAGTCGTATCAGAATATTTTTTCACAGTCACTCTCGACCACCTGACCGATATCACTGCTGTTGCCCCTCGCTTCCTTCGTGTTAGTGTACGTAGCCAAGCCCAAATTTCTTATGGCAGCTACTTTAGAGCCAGTGCGTGTCATAGATGATTTTTTTAATGCTTCCCTCCACCGTACATAATTAATAGATTGTGATTTCCTCTAGTTAATCATTCTCCTCCTTCCTAAAGTTTTACGTGACAGGGTCTCCCTGTAATTTTCTATGATTTCATCTCATGCATTCGTTTCCGATAGTAAAGCGTCCGATCACCTCTTTAGATGACCAGTTGAGATCCGGCTCTTTGTCGGATATGCCGCCAGTTCTGGAACTTCAAGACACCATGTCCTACTATGACGTAGAGGGGTATCGAGTGCAGTTGATTGCGACTGTGTTTCGAAATCTCGTCGTCAATTCGACTGTCAACTCTGCCATCTTGGGACAGGATCCCAATGTCCTTCGTTTCGTTTGCCTTTGCATTTACTCCAGACACAACTCTTTGCATCAACTTGGCCTAGACATTATGTCTTTCCTTCATTTCCCGGTAGTCGGGGCTCTTGTTCCGGTCCTCAAGCGCCTTCTTGACGAGCTCCTGAACAGCCCTGATAGGGTTGACGTCGCCAGAGGTATGTCATCGTTGTTTGCTCTCTAATAGCTTGTTTTGTTCTAGGACTACGAATACTTCGGCATTTATGTGAATCTCCACTATCGTCCCAACAGGAAGTTATTTCAGGTCTGGGGACGGTTCGTCGTTCCTACGTCATCGGCACATCCTCTAGGAACTTCTCTTTCCTCGTAACGCTTCCTACGTCAATATACTCTGCGTTAATGCGCATAATTTACCTACGAGATTTACATCTTCTCATCCTTGCACTAGACGCAGTCTTTGCGCTTTCTAGTCAGGGTCCCCTTTTGTGCAAGTTGCTATTGGGCCAGGCCGACAACGAAGCCTCCGTTCTCGACACCCTAATCTCGCACCTCACTTTTGAACCTCAATCATTTGGCTCCGAAAGTCTCATTCGCATGCGCGTCATGCAGGTTCCTGGCATGTCGCTGCCACCTACGACTTCAGCCATCAAAACAACGGCTTCTCGACTAAAAGAGTATTTGCCAGAATCAAGCAAGCCTACAAAGTTTGTACCCACTAGTGACCTCACTTCGGGTCTTCTGCTTGCGCCCTTGCCGCAACCTCCCGCCGGGTGTTTTGCCGTCCCTGTCTCCATCGCCAAGCCTGTCCGAACTGCAGGAATTACCAATGAATCAGAAACTCCCTCTGCAGTCCCAAAGGTTTGCTGATTTCTAACTCAGAGCCATTATCGAATGTTTTTTGTCTCTTCTTGACTACCTGACCCCTTCCCTATACTCAGTTTAGTGAACTTTGGTCCTTCAATCTCAGCTATGTACACTAGTCTTAAGTCAGTCGAGTCTTGTCCTATGTCCTTTAGGACTCCTTATTCTGGCATTAGGATTGACATCAAGTCGTGGAGTCACTTTATGTGTCTCCTTTTTACATAAATAAACCAATGTAACTTTCATGAGTCTGATGGCTACTTACAACGGTTTAAGGTAGCACTTACACTTCATTTAATCTTCGTTTGTGAGTGTAATTTAAGTCGATTAGTCGGCACAGATACTCCGGTAAGTTGATATAAGGCTAGCAAGATATCTACTGACACTCGCTCATTCGACCGAGATCCAAGTCCCGATTTATTTCAACTTTTAACTTCTTGTCCTGGTGCACAACGCAACCATCTAGCTATAAATGATGCATGTCTGGGTAGTCATTTTACGCTTTGTAATAGATCCTAACACCCCTTGTCCTCTCTCTGTGCATAAAACCGCTCCTAGCTCTCCAGGAAATTGCAACGTTTAGAGTATGATTCTCTTTGCCAGCATAGTTCCTCGAGTCTCACGTGCGATCTTCGCGTTAGCCTTTGCTAAGTGGCCGTTTATCGAGGCTCTGGTAACTTGACAGTTTTGTTACTTTTGCCGATTGTCGCGCTAGTTTGGTTTTCATGTTAATGGTCTTTTCGATTGTGGTTAGACTTTTCATCCTAACAACCGCTTTTTAATAGAAATCAAACGCTGCTCCAAAGGTCGTTCTGCCTCCCACAACCCAATGGACCAACCCCTCCACTGTAGTCGCAAGTGTCACTTCACCTCCGCAGTCGTCTATTGTAGTAACCTGTCAGGCTTCATCACTTGTTGCTCCCGTCGTGTGTTATACATCCGAACCTACCTCCGCTCTCGTGACAACACATCACACTGTGCTTGCATCCCAGGCCAAAGTCTCTAGACCTACGCCGCCCCCACTTGCCGAGCCGTCTGCTGTTGCGGTTAACGGCAAACCCCAAACTGCTTCAAATAAGTCATGCGAGACCAAAGGCGCCAAAGCTCCGGCCACATCGGGTCCCATTTATCTGGACGCCCCGAAAGACAGACGAGAGTTTGCCATGTTTTGGTTAAACAAGAACTATCAAGTCCATCCTCAGTCGAGTTTCCCTCGTGTCCAGATCTACGCCGACTACCAGAAAGCGCACCAACAGAACATGATCCCTGGGAGTGCTCTGTCAGCTGGTGAATTCCATATAGTGATAAAGTATGTTCTTTTGTCATGTTCCTGTTTTTATATTACGTTCTTCGTTAGCAATATATGCGTAGGTTTCTACATGTGTTTGCGTTTAAGCCCCGATGGCTGGTACGCATACCATTACCAAGGTGCCCTTGGTATATTAACCACTGTGGCGTCACAGACGAAATATCATAGTAGGCAGTACACTGCAGCTGAGGTGAGTGTCCGATAGACGACCCGAACGTTTCGTAAGCAATAAATTTTCCCGTGTGATAAACCGAGGCAGAGGTCAATGCCGATACTGAGTCAGGGCGCGTGGTGCGCGGGATCCGATCTTGCCAACAAATTCAGACGACATACATAGTGTATGGTTTGTCCAAAACACGATTCGTTTATGTCCGCGTTCATAAAAAAAATACGGTGTCGATAACCACTGTAGACGCGGAGTTCTATATGAATGCCCATATCCCCTCAGCCCCACGGATTCCTGTGCCCAATAAATAACTGATTTTGCCTTACCGTTGTTCTGCGGAGTTCACTTGCAGTTTGGTGTCTGGGATGACGGCATGTGCCTGCTATTTTTTGTATGAATAAACGCACTTTCCCTTACAATCATGCGCTATGAATCGTTCGTGTTTTCTGATTTGACTTCCATGATAGACTGGCTTTTGCGCGTCAACTCAAGCCATAGCATTCCATTGATCAAAGGAGTACTATGTCAGCAGGAATCTTCATGCTTAATGTCGATTACGAATAGCAAGTTATGGACTTGTTTCAGTGTCAAGGAGTAAGAATCTTTTGTAAGATACGGCCCTGGCCCGGCCAAGATTCTTTTGTTTATGTGCCTGATATCTGCGCAGTTCAGCATGTTTCCGCATTTCATGAGATTTCTTAGGGGCCAGACAATATGCGATAGATTGCCATTTCCAATACCTCTTTCCTTGTCCGACGTTCACTAAACGATGTAATTTGGCAGGGGGCTTGAGGTAGCATATACACTGGTTCAACGGGTGGTTGTTTTGACTCCTAGCCATCTGGTTTCTGGTAGCCCCCAAAATTCTCGTGGAACGCGGCGTAAGTGCCCACAGGTCCGGAGTTCTCCGAGTGTTTTGATAACTCGGGAAACATTTTGGTAGATCTGTTGCTCTCTTAGTTTATTCTTATCTAGTCAGGATCGGGAGTTGTCTTTGTCACTTTTCTGTCTTTCTTTGCACTGGTTTGGTTCGCATTTAAGCCCTTGCAGTTTTTTCCTCTATGTTCTACCCTTCGTTCCCACACTGCCAGCTCTTTTGTACTAACGTGAGACAACCTTTCCACAAAATAATCCTCTACGCTGTTTTTCTGCCCAAAGCTATTTTAGCACCATGCCTTGCACACACTCGCCTCTCAGTATGCATTTATTCCGTTTCTTTTGACAGATCAATGTTTCCCCTTGTGGATCAAGTGAAGGTTCTTGTTCCCAACGGAAACGTAGAAATTCATTACAACAAGTTGAAGCACGTAGACGCTCCAGAACCTCTGGAACAGGCGCTAGGTGCGTTCTATCATACCTTCTGTTTTCAGTAAATAGAAGCCAGTGATGTTCGGTCTGAAATCTCCCATCGCCCAGCTAGACCGTTATCTACATTGTTTTGCTTTTTCTGTTGGCCAAACCCCGACAGAAGGTTTTCATGAGCCTATGCTTGCTTTCGACCGGCTACGCACCCTCTAGTTATTTCGACGCTCCCAAACCACATGGTTTTTTTCTTATCTTCCAACCAGGTGTGCAGCACATTATCGCCCCCTTCTTGACCGGCCAGCATGCAGATACAAACGCCACAAAGAACATATCATCAAAATCTACCTCTAACTCGAAGGTGTGTTGTCTTTTTTAACTTCCCTTTTAAAATGGGCGACATTTAATGCAGCTAGTAAAAAGCCACCAAATTATGAACACATTTTGCGCCGAATTAGCAACTGTAGTTCGGTGGGCTTGTAATTTTCATAATTCCACACTTTCCCATCTGTGACTGGTCTATCGACTCGGAACACTGAGCACCGTTACTGTGTATTTATCACTGCCCTGCGCTCTTGTCGATCTTGCCTCTAAGCTCATCCGGTTGGGACATCTGCCCTACTTTAAGAACTACTAGTAGGTTTTCTCGCTAAAAAGTTGTCTTCCTACTCCAGTACTCGTCGCAACCACAGCGTTGTCGCGCCTGGGCGCAAGCCGCTCAATCAGCTGTTTGCCTAACGTAGCCAAACGCGCTTACACGTGTTTGGCGCGACGACGCACGCGATACCAGTCGCATTCCGGGGGACATGACGTCACCAGCCATGACTGCCAAGGTCAGCCACACGCGTACACACCCAACTCGCGCGTGCGTTCATGTTCCTACGCCCGCGGACCACGTGACCTTCGCGCGTAGTTGCGCTTTTTTTAGCCATGACCTTGAGGGTGTGTGTCGGGACCGGGGTTGTTGGCGTCGGCACTTGGGTTACGGTGACGCTTAAATTAACCGTTCCTTTTTGTGATTGGACACCACGTCAACGTGACCTCTCGAACTTCCAGTCGTGCGCTCGAGTGGTGTCCTCCAAGTCCGGTAATACCCTTCGACTTTGTCCTGTTACCCACACGTGTCTGTTTAATGCAGAGCTCTCCCTCGTCTACCACTTCCATGTCGTGCCTGTCCTCTAATTCTATTAATTGCGTCAAACGGTCACTAGATTTCTTTTAGGCTATTTCAACGACCTTCCGTACTTGCACGTTTGAAGACTTTGATTCTGAGGGGTTAAAGTGGTCCTGTAATGCAAGGCCAACTGCGCCAAGCGCGATAATTTTCTATCGTACTTTTCCCGTTGAAGACTCGAGAGTAATGTTGGGCCGGTCTATTGTTCAACGACAACGCCAGAAGTGCGCTTGAGACCGGTGTTTGTCAAGCCGGCCCAGTCTTTTGTTGAACACCTCGACACCATTGCCATCCAGGTTCCTGTTAGTGTGAGATAATACCGGGGCGACACATGACCAACTAACCGGCTGCTTTCCTGACTGGTTCACTGAGACGCGATTGGGGAGTGGATCGCAATCAACGTCGATCGAACTATTCTGGGTGCCCGATAACCAGAGTACACAGACCATGCCCTGCCTTTGCATAAGACCGCTGTCTTGGTGAAGACCTCTTGCGCTCTGTGCCGGATTTAGTCCCCGATTTGGCTTCGCTATGTAAGACCAGGGCCATATGCACTTTTTTGATCCTGTGCCGCAGCTGTCTGGCACCAAGTTCGACCAGGATACCAAGTGTTCGATAACCCAAGTTTCACTGTCCACCGTGACTGGACGGTTACCGCCAACCGCAAAGCCCAAGGCGATCTTAATTGTAATTAATTTATTCTTGAGGTATGGTGAATAAAAGAAAATAGGGTACTAGGAGATGAACAGTTTAACCGCTCCCGGCTGGAATCCGCGATGATTCTTCCCTGTGTTTAGCTGCACAACTAGAAGACCGTATTGTCTGTCACACAGTATCGCTTCACTGCGTCTGTAGACCTCCATTCCTGGAGCATGCTTTTTGTTTGTTGCCTTTGATATCGCACCGGGGATATCTGCGGTGGTAAACTTCAGCTCTGATGCGTCCTCGAATCCCGACGGTCTTCCCATATTCCATCGACAAAAGCTCGGTTGAGGTCTTGACAGTCTTACTCCTGAATCAGTCGTCGTGGCCTGCATCCTCCACGCTATCACAGCATAAACGGGCAAAATTGGGAGAGCTGTCGGATAGGGGCCGAGGTTGCAGGTTTTTGGGATGTGAGCGAACATCAGACCAGTAAGACTGGTTCAAAAATGGTCCTAAGTAAAGGCGAAGTGATTTCAATGCCGCCCAAGAGTAGCGGGCTTGGACTCGAGTTTCGCATCCGCTCAACCGAACCATCCATTTACTGTACGCCGTAGTGAAACCATTGGTATGGGTAAACTGGCGTTTTCTGCATGTTGTTGGTGAAATCTTGTGGGCTGAAATTGGGTGTGGTATCCGAACGAGTCTGAGGTGGGATTCTTTTGAGATTCCTTTTGACCCACAGTAACTCCTTTCCGAGCTAATTATTTCGTAGTGGTCTACAGGCGTTAGCCTTCTGTTGATCACTTCTCTGAACACCCACTGTCTGCTGCCACTATCGCCATATCGGACAGCTTTTCGCACGTCAGTCCCCGAAAAACGCTGCAACCTTTTTAGCTACCAGCTTTGACGCCAAGTTCAGTAATTTGAGTGTCAAGTGGACAGTTGTCTCCTGGCTTGTTGGCCGTTTCATTAAGTTCGTCACAGAAGTCATTTTTCTGTTCCGGCGCACACTGTAACCTCAACACCACAATGACAGTACTGTCCTACTCAGGACGCCGGTTTCCATTGCACAAGTGAAACTTTAGTCTAAGAACCCTGAACGATTGCGGTAGCATGACGTCAAGTGTCGTCACTTAACACCCCTGATGCAGACGTGAAGACGTTCTTCATCATCTGACACTCATGCGGCGCAGTCCGTCATTTGGCAGCCTCTGGATCGTACTAAGCCACTTCCAGTATGGTCAGGCATTGCCTTGTCTCTCCTCTTGGACACCAGTCTTCGATAAGAACATATTGGATGCTTTTTCACTCCTCTGTGGGCAGGTTTCCGACCATCCTCATTGTACGAAAGCGCTTTACGCCGTTTAATAACCAAACAAGCTAGTTTCACGCCAATGCCAGTTAAGACCTCTTGAGGTTGCGCTCTCCTATCCACCCCGGTATCCACAAGGAAATGATTTACTAGGCACTGCACTAAGCGTCGTGGCTTGCGAACTTGCCAACTGATGGGGTAGTTCGGTCCTCATGGGAGTATTTTGGAGTGACTAGACGACTGACGGTTAGACTGCAATAACTCGTTAATGTGGCCTTTTTTGGCACTCGCCCGTGTGAAATCCGGACTGCCCTCGCAAAGCCTGGCACATGCTCTGGGCGCCAGATCGTAGACGGCTTGTTTGTCTTTGTCAGCCACTGCACCCGAGCCCTCCTCCGGTCGTCTTGACTTAGTTCCGTCATTGGAACCACGCGGGTGAGGGAGGAAGCGGCGCGGCAGATGCAGTGAAAGTCTGCCTTTATAAGATAATTCACACGCAGTTCATAGGTTCTGCGCCCGCCATGCTGTGGGGTACGCGTTAGAAGTCGTCACTTGCGACGGTTGAATTATCATTAGGCACTGAAATCCTTACTATTTTCACAGAGTTCCTTTAAGCTCGGAATAGTTTACTTCATGCCCATGTTGATGGGACACAGTGTGTTATGCGGTAGCCATGTGGCCAGACGTAGCCTTCATGCACCCGAAATAGCAGTTCAGGGGGACGATTTCGTTGGCGCGTTTCACGTTTGTCTAATTATTGCACAGCCCCGCGTGTGTCGTCAAGGATGCTAGGCATAACGTTTGTAGTCCCTTCCGTCACGAACAACTATTTTCACACTTAGATGCCACACTGACCAGGTCCCTTGTTTTTGAAACTCAGGTGAATAAAAAACGAAATCACAATTCTGACCCAGTTGTACCGTCGTCAGAACCAAAGCAGGCCCGTCTGATAGATGAAGGTATTGCTAACAGAACTAGTCCCAGTCCAAACTCCCCACTTGTCAACGGCCAACCAACAAAACTACTGGCGCTTCCCAACGGAATGATTGAACTACCTACCAAGTTAGTTTTTCTTTTTCGCTTGACGTTTCCCTGCCGATCCCCAAGTGAGTGCAATATTGTATTGCGACAGTAACACTTCAATAAATGCCTAAACTATCGTCGGTTCCTCTAGGCTGATGTTCATTTTCTAGCTTTACTAGACGATGAAGCAAGTATTCTGTTATCTGGCACTGACTTCATTTGAATTTACGAGTTGTCGAATTATATGTTAAGAAGAGAAGCTCAACATCGTGGGCGCTAACAGAAAGCCCGTAGACCATCAGGAAGTTTTATTGCAGTCAAACCGTGCTCCCTTCTTGATGGGGGAAAGTATGCCTTGTGCTATCACCAGGTGGTCTGAACACACAAGTCCGGTTTATCTGCCTAGATTCCATTCTGCCAGTCGGTGTTTTTAGGATTTATGACGTGATTCGTATTCGCACTACACACTAGTATTTTGCCTCAGCATTCCTCGGATTTTAAACAGTGAAGTATGTACAGTAATAATTTCCCTTTCAGTGGTGGCCTCCATCAGCACATGGGTACTGCACCAGCGCTAGTGATATCACGTTTGGAAGGTCTACCGAAACGAGCTAATGGAATTTCAGTAAACAACGGGATTATTGAGCACCAGCACATTGCCCCTGCTTCTCTCAACGCAGTGCCAAAATCTGCTCAGGCACCTGTCACCTTGAGCTCCCCGATTGCCGCTGTTCAGCCGGCCCCAGCGCATCTAGTCGAAGCCTCCTCCCCCGCTGGCCCGTCGCCCCAACAACCCCACCTACTCCAATTTCGCACCCTGATTCCCCCCGCTCCTCTTTGCCCACTGACTCAACGGACTGCGACCCATTCCATTTCACTGACCTCAAGGCCAGTGCTGTGTGCCAGCAGTCAAAGCAGCACCTGCCATCGCCACCAACCTTATCAGCAACAACAGCAACATGTTCAGAGGCCTCCATCGCTCATTGTACAGTCCGCTGATACCATAACCGTGTCTTCACATCATCCTCATCAACCACAAACGGTCCCACAAACACTTACCTGTCTAGGCACCCTTGTGACGGCACCAAACAGTACAACCAGTCATCAGGTCTTTGTCTACTCTCTTGCCACGCCGTCTGTTATTCCGATTTCAGTACCAACAGCAGCGCCCCCGACCCAGCACCAGTTGCCCGCCACGATCAGCCAGCCTGCACAACTGCCCCCCGTGTCGACAACACCGACCCCACCTATTGCTCCTTCCCCATCTGGTGGTGTACTCCATTTCTGTCGGTGGGGCGGTTGTGCCAAGAGTTTCACGTCTGCCGACCACCTCTTCTCCCACGTCTACTCTGCTCACTTTCTTCCTATTCGTGGGCAGGAGTCCGTGAGTCCTTTGTGTGCTGTTGTTTCCTTTTAAAATCAAACGGTGCCTTCTTGCAATTGTCGTTAGAACATTCGTAAAAAGCCACGCCATCCTCTAGTTGTGTAGTTGCCACATATTGAATGTTTTGAAATTTTCTATTTGGTCTGTTGATGGATCAAGGAACACTTCATCTCAATTTCAGTCACCCTGCTCAAACCTACGAGTTTCGCTTGAAATAATCTCACCCTGTGTTTAACATGGTGGGTGTTGTAATGGCATTCTCAGAAGTAGTAGTAAGACCATTGCCACTCCCGCGGGCCATTCAGTCGTCTGTATGCCCTGTCCTAGGCCGGCTGTTGACGCCGACTGTGCCAAGACCACGGGTAGCGCGTTGCCATGAGTCACCATTAGCATCCACCTAGGCACGCGTTTGCGCTTGTCTATGGATGTTCGCGTGCGACCACGTTGCCGCAATGGTCGCGTCCGGACCATTGGCTCTTCCCTGCAACCTATCGCTCCACTCGCATCCGCGCGCTCAGCTCCCTGTCTGCCTCACTCCCCAAATTGCCGTTCTAGACACTCGTCTGTTTTAGTTCCTGCCTGTCAGTCTACTAATCCCGGCTGTCCTCTCTCACAGATGCATTGCGCCGCCTGTCCACCAAATTTCCTCGACGCTTGGCCGTCTTTGGGCATACGCCGTTTCCTAAGCTAGCGTTATCGGATTCTACATCCTGTTGTTTCATATGCCAACCAGGTGGCCTCACTTAGCCGTGTAGTTAGTGCTCGCCTATATTGGCAGAACTGTCAAGACCCGGTGAAAACAGTGTTTGTATAGCTCTGGCCAGCATTAAGGTACAGTTTTTTGACTCCAAGTGAGCTATCACGTGCCTATTTACTAGTCGCCAATACGTTTGGATTTTTTGGTTGTATGTTTGTAGTTTCCCTGTTTGGAACTGGAGTTTTCGAACATCATGACTAAAACAAAAGCTGTGAATCATCCAGCAACCGGAAACTCGTGTTCCATGGTATTTTCTTTCTTCCATCTTAACGTGACTATTCGACCACTCCGTGGATTACACAAAGGGAGCGTGCTGTGACAGGCAAACATGTTATATACAGGGCCTAAGCAGAGTCGAAATCAATCTGAATTATCTGCGCTTGTGCTTTTCAGGACAACTTGTGGACTTGACCGTTTCTGCAGCCGCTGCCCCCTTTGTAATAGTGGAGATTAGTTTCTGTATTTTCGTGGGACATCGTTCAGGCCCACCTCAGTGTCTTCTGAAACTGCATCACATTCATTTCACGCCACATTTTATTGGCTTCCTTTCGTACTTCCGATCTGGAATTTAAATGAACACCCATCCCTCAATTCGATAATATCAAAGAAAAACTATCAACTAGTGACTTCATCGCCTTCAGACACCTACGATGCAGGTCTCGTCCCAGCCGAATTTGTGTCCAGTTTCCAGCATATGCATGGCAACTTGGGACAAGTGATCTCGCCTTTTTACGGCCGGTTGATGTTCGTACGTTCGTGTAGAGGCCTTATGGGGTGAGGTATATAAGCGTGTCAAGCAGGCGTGTGACCCTCACCGCTGTGGTTAGGATCTCATTCGACGTACTGATGATTTGCAACAACCGTGAAACAGCTGTCTGCGTCTGGCCTGTTGTATTATATGCGGTATGTGTCCTATGACACACTGTTTGTTGTCGCCAGTAGCAAGCTGGCGGGCGGACAGAATGGGATAGTGAGATCCCAACCACAGCAGTGAAGATCACGCCTACTTGACACACACACATATATATATATTATGACAGTGGGCGCTCGCCGATCAGGTTACGGAACATGCTCGTTCCGTTGTGCCTTGGGGCTCATACTAGAACCCTCGCAGGCAGTCGCACAGCGACTAGTAGTAGACATAGATGAGATGATGCCGACAAAGACAAGGGATGGGTATGACTGGCTGACGACGGCTAATAAGCCAGAAATGGCCATTCCAGTCTCCCTTGTCTTTGTCGGTAATATCATTCTGCCTATATATCATGCGTCGCTGCGCGGCTGCTGGTTGGGCTCGAGAGAGAGCCCTTAAGGCACAACGGAACGAGTGAGTTCCGTATGAACGATCGGTGAGCGCCCTCTAACATTGTGTATTCCCGATCGAAAACCGACAGGGCAACGGGCTCGTGGCCCGGTGAGTAGAGGCGTTGACTTCTAAACCAACAGGTCGCGAGTTCGAGGCTCGGGTGTTCCACACTTCGATCTTGGGTATGGCTGGCTGACGACGGCTAATAAGCCAGAAATGGCCATTCCAGTCTCCCTTGTCTTTGTCGGTAATGCCATTCTGCCTATATATATATATATATATATATATATATATATTA